TTAATAACTGCTTTTGCAGGAATGGAGAGAAGAAAAGACTATCTTAAATGTGCATGTTAAGGACAAGATGCATTTGCTTTTAGCAATGTATTCTAAACACACACACATACACGATACATCTGGAAGTGAGGAAATATGAAACTTTTTGCCTAACTTATTTCATAAGTTTACTTATGAATGCCATTCACCATGAGGTAATTTACTTGGGTTTTCATAATTTCAATCTCATTAGTATTTCTCCAGTAGTGTTGTTGGAGAAAAATGTCATTGGCAAAAGCAGAGTAAAGAGTTTCCAAGGTGGGGCATTCAGTGCCTGTGAGAACGGTGGTGTCTATGGTCACAATTGATGGTAGTAAAGACAGTCATCTCATAAGGCTCCTGCTCGGTCCACTGGGCTCCAGCCATACAGGCTCCTCCCTCTCCTGCTCCCTCCCCAGCACATTGGATTCAGTCATCTCTGTCCCACCTAAAGGCTTCATATGTGCAGTTCTTTCTGTCATGACTGTTCTTCTTGCTTTCTTTCTCAAACCACTCCGCTCCCCAGGGTGACTCAATGGATTCTCAATTTAACTTGCTTAAGGAAGCCTGGGTCAAGTTCCCAGTTACGCCCACCTAGCAATGCGTATTTTTTCCCAATGTATTTTACAGTTATGTGTCGAGCTCCAAATCTAAGCCAAGCCATGGCCTAGGCACAAGTAAAAAAGCTGGGAATAAATTAAAAAAATCCTTGTCTACAAGGGGCTTATATTTTTTCCCAATGTATTTTACAGTTATGTGTCGAGCTCCAAATCTAAGCCAAGCCACGGCCTAGGCACAAGTAAAAAAGCTGGGAATAAATTAAAAAAATCCTTGTCTACAAGGGGCTTACATTCCAGTGGAGTAATGGAAGTCTCTTTACTCGAAAATTTCATTGTGTACTCTGCATATCATATTTAGCACTTGCAATGAATCTAGGTGAGAGTTATCCTCATTATTTTTGCTTTATAAATGAAAACACAGGGTTAGGAAGTTTAAATAACTTGTGCTAGGTATCAAAGCTGTGAGGGCCAATTCCAGCCAGGGCATCCCTAGCTCCAGCTTGTAGACCTTCGTACTTTGCCTGGACACAGAGTTGGTACACGGATGAATTTATGAATTTCCCAATGTGAGCTAATTGTTTCTTCTTGGTTCTTGACTAATTGAATAATCTGTGGTTTGAAGCAACAGGCATATTGTTTAGGCAAAATAATTATTTGGAGATTCAGAAGTATGAGTACACCAATATGGCCACAATATTTTGTATCTGAATCTTTATTTTCACAGGGGACATAAGAAAGTCCAAACTTAAACTCATTATTTTACCTTTTGGGGATTTTCAGTCCACTGGTTTCTGTTAGTATAAGGCCATAAGGAAAGAGTGTTGGGCTATTTGGGCTTGCTTTGGATGCTGGAAAAGTGTTCAAGGTGAAAATAAATGGGTAAAAAGAACGAAGAAATTGGGACCATTAAAAAGTCAAAACATGTAGATTTGCTATTCTATTATGGGTGAACCTATTGAAACATCTTTGTCCTGAGTTATGTTTTCTCCGAGGATGAGAAGCAAAGACTGTTGTATTAGGTTATGTAAGACCATTAGCTTCTTCGATGTGCTTTTTACTTTCTTTTTTTTCCCCCTGTTTTCTTCTTACTGCCTTGGGGAGTTACCACATTATATTATTTCGACAAAGGCCTGTAGTAATGTTGTAGTGTTTTGTACAGCTGCTTATGAAACAGTTCCAAACAAATCAATCAGGACGGGTGAATCGAACAAAAGAACTTGTGGACAGAGGTTAGGAGAGACTATATGGAAGGGTATCTGAGGGTCAGTTTTGACTCCCTGGGTCATGCTGTCCAACTGATGGACATGTGCCTTTGAGCAGAATGAATAAAAGTCCCAACAATTCAGACCGAAGATCTAATTTCTGCTCTGTTTAGAGCTCTTTAATGCATCTTGCCTGTTTAATGCACACGGGTGACTTCTTGGCCAGATCTGGTTGATCAAGCCCTTACAGCTTAAATATAATGGAACAAGTTGCTAACATTTATAAAGTTCAGGTGACTTCACATACAAATCAAGATTTCTGGCTTCTGTTAAACAACCAGAAGCCATGGCTACACTGGACTCGTGTTTTCACATGTAAATACCTGACTAGAACTGACTCGTGGCTACTTCCTTGTTCTCTCCGTTACATGTCACCCCTGCTCTGTGTTGTAGTGGGCCTGAGCAACCTTATCCATTCGGGTTCTCTGCCTGAATGCTAAGGAGTTTGATGTTGTGATTCCTGGTCCTTTCTGTAAGTGATAAGTGGTGCGTGCGTGTGTGTGTGTGTGCATGTGTGTGTGTGTGTGTGTGTGTGTTTTAGACCCTCAGGTGGAAGCAAGGGAAGTCTATGTATATTGAAGAAGAATGCTTGATAATTTTTTCCCCAATTGTTTTGATTTCATTTTTTTTTCATGATGTGTATTTAGAGATTTAAATGTCATTAACAGAAGGGTGTGGATTCATTATGCTTATTAATATGGACGTTGTATAAAAGAATGATTTTCAAAGAGTAGGCCTCGCCAATTAATGCGCCATAATATAGATTAAATATTCCACCACCAGTTTTAAAAAATAAGGTAGAATAGAAAACAACAGCATGTTAAACACTGATGATAAGGGCCAGCCCGGTGGCGCACTCGGTAGAGTGCGGTGCTTGGGAGTGCAGTGGCGCTCCCGCCGAGGGTTTGGATCCCATATAGAGACCAGTCCGCTCACTGGTTGAGCGCGGTGCGGGCGCGACACTGAGGGTTGCAATCCTGTTACCGGTCACGAAAAAAAGACAAAAAGGAAAAAAAAAAAAAACCACTGATGATAAATAGATCAATAAATAGGTTGATATATTGGGTCACAATACAAATTACTTCTTGCTGTGGGTTGCAGTTGCAAAACTTTTAGAAGCCACTAGATTATCAAGCTTAAGAAACATAGCTAAAATGTTTAATGTATATTAATCAATCTTCCTATAAGTATTTCTGAGTAACTGGTATCTTTATCTTTTATGGAACCAATGTTGGCATTTAAGTAAGTAAATAAATAAACAATGACCTTTGCCTCAGGGAAAACAGAAGGCTATTTCCTTCTCTTAATGAATCAATATTTCCATATTTGATGGAAGAAAGACATATGAAAACCGTAAAACCTTGCAGAATTAGGTGCCAACTAGTAGAGTCAAGTTTATGCGGTGGTTTAAATAAGGAAGAGGTATCCATAAGGGCTGAAGTATTTTGGGATGTGTTCAGAAGAAAATGGGACGTGATTTAAAATGCCTTGAATTTTAGTTTTAGTTTGTTGGATTATAATGACTTAATAATTAAGATCGGGCCGGCCCGGTGGTGCACTGGATAGTGCGCCGCTTGGGAAGCGCGGCGGCGCTCCCGCCCGGGGGTTCGGATCCCACATGTGGACCAGTTCCCGCTCGCTGGCTGAGCGAGGTGCAGGCGCAGCACCGAGGGTTGTGATCCCGTTGCCGGTCCCGGTCCGGTATGGGCGCAACACTGAGGGTTGCGATCCATTACCGGACACGAAAAAAGACAAAAAGGAAAAAAAAAAAAATTAAGATCACATGATCAACCTCATGAGCTAGTTCTTTATATCAGCTTATTGAAAGAGCCATCTTTTTTATTTTTTTCTTCTTCTTCTCACATAGCCCATACTTGTGAAATGCAAGCGAGGCAGGTTTCACCAGTTACTTAGGTCATGCTATATGTGCAGCAAACTGCCATAAGGCCATGTACTGGGCTAACTGCGAAAAATTAGATACGGATAAATCTTCCTTGTTTTATTGCATTAGTTGCATAGACTGGGGTAGATAAAAAAAATTAACAGTGGTTTGGGTTAAAAATTTGCTTAGTTTACGTGTTGTGTTAAACAGTTCTTTAGGTGTGAGCAAAATTCAAGGACTAAAGCCAATGTTCAGTTTTTCAATAAGAGGTTCTGAAGTCGGGGGAATGACATTCTTTCTTAGAATAATAAGTTTCTTTAAAACAAAGAAACAAAAACAATTTCTTAGTTTACTGTTGACATATGTATGTATCAAAATCAGAGCTTCTTTTTAATGTCCCCAAATATAGTTTTGTCCACATTCTTTAAAAATATTTATAATAATTAAATATATTTTAGTGTAGTATATATATGCATATATAAACTACACTAAAATATAATTTATATATTAAAATGTATCTAATTAAAAAGTATTCTCTGGTTCCTGCCTAATTGTTATACCATTCTCCACTTGTTAATGGAATCCATTTCCATTTTTTAAGGGTTTGAGGTAGAGATGATTTTCCTCTTAATACTTGACATTAATTATCGAACTGATACAGCTTTCCTTGAAGAACTTCTTTTATGTTCCACACATTAATTCAACACAGTCATGCTCATTAAAAAAAAAAAAAAATCCATGACTGATTTGATCCATCACAGTGACTGGAAGCTGGAGTAAAATTTGATCTAGGATTTTAGAAGTGAAAGAATTCTTAAAGCTGTTCTCTATGAGAAGAGTCAGGATAGAATCTAAGAGAGGCATAGAATCCTTCCTTCACCTCTGAGCTGCCTCACGTCGTTTCTGGTGAGAAGTTACTCATGGACTGTGAGCAGCTGCACAGGTATTCCTCTTTGAGGGTGGCAAGGTGAAGTACAGGGATTATACCAAGAATCAAAAAACAGCTTTTTAAATTAACCTTCTGCTTTGCTCTGTGGTTAAAAAAAAAAAAAATCAGCACATTATTAGCCTGGAGGATTGATTCCCTGCCCTTATTATAACAATTAATTGGACACTTTGAACATTTTGATTCTAGTTGACTTTGTTTATCGAATGTGGCCAAGAGTTCTGATCTCATAAAAAATAAGCGGGAGCAAGCTTATGGAGTATTCTAGGCTGTTAGTGCGCTGAACTTCTAGGTGCTGGATTTTCAGATATTTTTTGTCTTTGTTTTCACAGGATGTGTGAGACTGGTGAAGGGCTGTTTATCTTTCAAACGCGAGATGGGGAGGCCATCTATCAGAAAGTCCACTCTGCTGCCTTGGCCATAGCCGAGCAGCATGAGCGCTTGCTACAGAGTGTGAAAAATTCAATGGTATGTTTGGAATTTCTTCCTTATGACCTAAAGTATGACACTGTTGAATGGAATCTGTTAATTTTTTGTGCTGAAAAATATGGTCAGCATTATTTAAGCAGATGGTTTACTTCTACACTCAACAGTGTATGCTTGGAGTAAATGCCATCCTTGCAATGTCTGAAGTGGCCTATTGGTAACACCATAACCAGACATCTCCATCGTCTATTTTGTGACTCAATTATTGCACATGTGTATCTACATTAAAATCCATTTGGATTTGTATGGACATCTATAGACACGGCTAGGAGGATTATCTACCTATAGATATACTTGTATTGTTAGCTATATCAGAAGTTATAATGTCAAATGTCAACAGGGGCCAGAGAGAAAATGTGAATGAGAGAAGGCTGAGAGAAACTAGAGTGAAATGTCAACTGTTGACATGAAATTGTGGGATCTGTGCAGGTGGATGGCTTGATTTTTCAAGGGAAGCCAAGGACATTAGTCTGTATGTAATACCTTCTAGTTGGTAGCTGTTGGAAATTAATTCTAGTTAAAATGGCAACTCTTTGTGGGCCAAAGAGAACCTGTCTGTAGACAATGTGCTGCACACAGCCATATACTTGCTGTCTCTGATTGATAAACCTTCGTAGTCACTGATGTAAAGATGCTACAAACACAAAGACACATGAGTGTATACATAAACATGCCCTCAGAACACCTGCTTTTTTTATTGGATTGTGCTAGGGACTATGGACTGCAAAAAAATTATGATTTATGAGTTTCTTCTTTAAGGAGAGAAAATTCATGACATCTTAAGTGAATGCACAACAATTAAATAATGAAATCATTCATCATGGCTGCAAACATGTACATATAAGGATCTTCACATCAGGAAGGAAATATACAAAACCGAAAGGAGCTAGGTTGGCATGGTAAGATTAGAGTAGTTTGATAAGTTATGGTTTAAACAGGAGGGGTGGTTGGATTTAAAGGGGGGGCAAAGCATCCTGGTAATATGACCTGTCTCAAAGGAGCCCCGATTATTCCCAAATGACCTGTACATACAGCGCTCTGGGGTTTTAGAGCAATGGTCAGCAAAGCTTCTTCTAAAGGGGCAGATAATAAATATTTTAGGCTTTGTGGACTGATATTGTCCCTGTTGCAACTACTTAATTGCCATCATAGCACAAAAGCAGCTGTAGAAAATATGTAATCAGGGGCTGGCTGGTTATCTCAGTTGGGTAGAGTGTGGTGCTGATAACATCAAAGTCCAGGGTTTGATCCCTATACCAACCAGCTGTCAAAAAAAAAAGAAAGAAAGAAAGAAAGAAAGAAAATATGTAATTAAATGGGCATGGCTGTGTTCAAAAAAAACTTTATTAATGTACACTAAAATCCAAGTTTCATGTCATTTTTATATATCATGAAATATTTTCTTTTGATGTTTTCCCCAACCATTTAAAAATATTTAAAAAAAACCAAAAACAAGCTTGTTTATGGGTCATACAAAAACAGACAGCAAGCTGGATTTGGCCTGCAGGCCAGAGTTCACTATTAGAAAGAGCAAGGGCACCCTGTGAGCTGGCGCTGACCTGAGCAGTCATGAGACATGAGGGCTGGACTCACAAATGTAGGTATGATTTTGGAGGTGGGAGGATGGGCATGCTGTAGAGGCCTGGAGTGAATTGAGGACTTGTGAGGGTTAATTAATTTTACTTGTGTGTGTCAATCAGACCGGGAAAGAGCTGGTCAGAAATTTGCAGTAAACTTTATTCTGGGTGTATCTGCAAGGGTGTTTCTTCATGAAGGTAAAACTTGAATTGTTACATTGAGTAAAGCAAATTGGCCTCCTTAATGTGAGGGGAACCTGCCCCATCTGTCAGAGGCCTGAAAAAAACAAAAGGCGGGGTGTGGAAGAATGAGTTCTCTTTGCCTGATGGTTTTGGGCTGTGGCATCGGTTGGCTTCCACCTTCGAATCTGGACTAGAACTTAAAACCATCAGCTCTCAGTCCTTCTGACTGCGGATCTTGAGACTTCTCAGCCTCCGTAATTATATGAGCTATTTCTTGATAATAAATCAATCTTCCTTCCTTCCTTCCTTCCTTCCTTCCTTCCTTCCTTCCTTCCTTCATTATATATATATATTATATATATATATATATATAAAATGTGTGTGTTAATATTCTCTTTGTTCTGTTTTTGGAAGACCCTGATTAATCTAATACAAGGGTAGACATAAAGAAGAGGTAAAGGTCAATTCCCAAAGCGATCACATTGTTTTAAGATCACTGCCCATGAAGTCAGACCTAGTTCTAACACCAACCCTGAAGTGTTTCAGCTTTGTGGAGGAGAGCAAAGGTTTTGGTATCTCTGAGCTCCAGTTTTCCCTTTTGTAAAATGGGGAAGTTAATAGTATATATCTTAATGTCTTCTTGTAAGGTTTAAGTGAGATTTGCTTGTAACACATTCAACACAGAGCCCATCATGTAATAAGATTCAGTGAAATGTAGCTATTTCTAGGACTGTTATTAATAGCTGAGCCGTCATTAGTATTGCTATTAATATCTGAGCAGACTAGTTGGTCCAGATTGATCCTAGCAATGGCTGACAAAAATGGCTGGAGCAGATGATTATCCAGCAGCAAACACATTCATGTTTATGTACACCTCATCCTTCAACCCCCCGCCCACGCTTTCTCTGAGTGTCTAAGTAGGAAAAACCTGAAGACGAGATTAAGACGGTGTGGGATAAGATATAATTTGATAGCTCTTAGGGAATTAGAAACTACTGTAAGAAACTTTAAGAAATAGTCATATTTACTATTTCTTTATTTCAAAAGGAATCTGTATGTCATTGAAAAATTGCAGACAGCACAGCAGAACAAAAAGAACAAAGTAAGTCATGCCTCCTCCTGCCACACAAGAATGCACCCATTGCTAACTCTCTAGTGTATAGCTCCCCAGTATTTTAACTGTGTGTATACAGAAAACAGAATTATATTAAACCCATTGCTTGTGGCTAGCTTTTTGCAGAAACCTATCTACATATTTCTACCTCATTAAGAATCATCCACAACATCATATTTCAGGGTTATATAGTGTTACATTATGTAGATGTTCCATAGATTTTTAAAACTATGCTTCAGCTGTATGCTCAATCTGTATGCATTGATGATTATTTGTTTAAGAGGCCATGAGTGTTTTTAAGGATTTGATTTTCTTTACAAGTAGCCTTCCAGAAAGACTTTCTTTTTGAATGAATGTAGTCTTGGTATCAATTTTCCCATATACTTACCAATTCTGGATATTGCAATAGAGAGAGATAAATGGAAGGAGGGATGGAGGTAGGGAAGGGAGGGATGGAAGGAGAGGGGGGAAAAGGGATGGTTGAGAGAGAGAGAGAGAGAGAGAGAGATCAACAAAGTAGAATTCAAGTCCCTTAAAATTCACAGAGCAGTGACTCATTGAGTTAATGTTGTTTACCAATCCTATTAGATGCCCATAAGCACCTGAAGACATTTTTCCAAGATTACTTATTTGTAGAGCCATCAATTAGCATACTTGTAAATTGTTTTGTG